CTAATCTTTCAGAATCTTAACCACTGATTTGCTAATATCAGGTATTCAAGAATCCTAAAATCTCCACATAGGTTACCTTAATATAGTATTTTCTCTGGTACTTTTTTACTACTAAAAGATTCCAGATCAACCTAGAGCAGAAAGAGGATACATGAAATGAAAATGTAAAAGGAACCCTAAGACAGGGGGTATTCTGGAAGTGACCTTCTCTTTAAAACTTGAAAATATTTAACTTCTAATTCATATCTCTTACATATTCTCTCTCTTTTTTCTTAACTTTCACTCTGTGTGGACTAACACCACCATGAACATAGTTGCTGGGGGGGGGGGAACTGTTGGCAACCCTCACAATAGGATGTTGGCTGCATATTCTGTTTCATGTGCCAAAATAGAATGAAAGAATTACGAGGCACCAGGACTTCTGTGGGTGGCATCAAGAGCAACATCTTTTGCTTCAGTGTGATTGCCCGATGGGTTTCCATAAACAGAAGCACAGTTCTGAACTTTGGAAAGAAATTAGAATTATACTAGTGAATTTGCTGCTGAAATTTGCACTATTTGTCTTAGAAGCATTGTAGAAATAATGTGCAAATTTTAACAGCTAGCTTGATTGCAATTACGAAATCATTTTTTATCTGGTTATGATTGAATCCACATTAGATTAAATTTAAGTCCTTCCTGTCATCCATCCATTTATATGTAAGCATTGCCAACTTTTTCCCACTTTCCAGCCTTATCAATATATAAGTGGTCCTCAATAAAATTGGGAGTGAAAAATTCTTCGTTAAGCAGTTTGGTCATTAAGCAAGAAACAGTACGATTTTGACTTATGACCTTCCCTGCTAGCTTTCTGATTGACTGTACTTCTGGGAAACCAGCAGGAAGGTCATAAATAGTGATAACATGGCCATGGATGGCTGTGATATGATAATCACATGTCTAGTACTGTGTGTCCAGATTGCCGTCATGCGAGTATGGGAACATTGCAATAGTCAGAACTTCAAGGCAGAGTCGTGAGTAACATATATCCAGAGCTACTGTAACTTTGACTGATTGTTGAATCTGTAGTTGACATGGTAGACTGATATCAATATCACGCCCCAAACATTGGAAAAAATTTAAACACACATAACAAAACCAGCTATAACCAGGAAAGCATATATTATTGTAAAATGAAAACCCAAATTGTTGGAGGCAATATGCTGACTCTGTGAACCGCTTTGACTTAGAAAGTCCCGTAAAGCACTGTGGAGCGGTATATAAGTGCTGTTGCTATTAGCCAATGGGCTTTCCTGCTGGAGCTAATATATATCTGATGCACAATCTACCCTGCTTAGAACTTGGATTTTACCAAATGCAAGTTGAGAAGAAGAGAAGGTACAGACGGCTCATTCTTCTGGATCTAAGCATTTTTTTGCTCACTTTTGTCAGAAATAGCTTATGTAATATTTCTTTCACATAATTAGATGTTTATACATTATAGAGATATATCATAGATGTTAATAAGGATCTGAGAACATACAACGTTAAGGTATTTCATAAGCGTTCTGTGTGTATGTCTGGGCGTGTATGTGTATGTTTAGAAGTATCAATGTTTCACCTCAAAATTATTTTCAAAACCTATAGTTAATCTGATGTAACTGTGCAGGATCCATAAATGATTGAAAGAGAGAGAAAAAAGTGTTTCTCTGAAAGATTTTGTAACATTCGTGCAATTTAGCGTGATAACTCGAATTCATTCCAGTTCAATTTAAATTCTTTTAAATTCCTTTTAAACACAGGAAATTTTTAGCTGGGAATAAAATGTGATAATTGATATGTGCTCACAGTAAATAAGCCAATTTACTGTGTTCAAGCATAGTTTCATAATCCTTATGCCAATGTTTCAGTGAAAAGTGAAAATATTTCCCCAAGATCAATCCTTTACCTTCTCTTCATGTCAATAAAGTTTCCTTCCCCCCAAAAGCTTATTTTGTTGAAAATAGAGAAGTTTATTTGAATTGAAACGAGAAGTTCATAGAGAAAATGGTGAAAATGCCAAGGTCTGGTTAGCAAAAAGATTCTTAAGAGTTATATCCAAACCTCCAAAATATTTATAAGATTATACCTGTATGCATTTTCCTTAATTCCTCTAAGAATAATTACATATAAATTACAATGTGCTTTGTAAAAATGTTCCTTTTGGGGATAACCTAGACTGCCTCTGCAGCAAAGGGGATGTTACCTGCAACTATACCTCACTTGGTTTCCTACCTGTAAATCACCTGTTTTCCCGTTGCTTCTTCTATTCCCTTTTAGACAGTATCTGCCTTTCATTATAAAACATTTGTGCTTTTATTGATTATAGGAAGAGTTAAACACTCAGTAGAAGCTTCTACCTCCCCAATTGCTTACTTTCTTTGTGGAGTTGTTATAATGATTAGAGAAGAATAACAAAAAATAATGGATTAAAAACTGAAAAAAAATTGTTCTAATCACTACTGACAAAATGCAAAAGTAGGAGAGGAATTTGTACGAAAAACTGCTGGAAAGTGTAAGCTACAATTGTACTATGATCCAGGACAATAATTAAATATATTTCTGTGTAGAAAATGGTCTGTTCATTGCTAATAGGCTCAGTATAGGCGAGACTCATCTGTCCCACGGCTTCAAAGGTCTTCCTATCCCGTGAGGTATCTCAGGCTCTGCTTTCCACCTCCTGGGAGTCCTCACGGGTCTCCGGCCTGCTTCCCACTTGGCCACTCAAGGAATTGCAGGAGGCGGCCTGCTCCTCAGCCAGCTCCAGGACCCAGTAGCACCCAACTTACCTTTTTGCAGCTTCTGGGAGAGGTGGGCAGCTGATGTGATATGAGACTCAGCTTTCCTATAGAGGCAGCCTCGTGCTCCTCTGAAAGCAGGTGTTATTCTGATGATCCTTTAGGGGACTCTGTTTTTATCACAGTTGTAAGGGTGAATGAAGACGGGGTGCTGCAGTGGTCCTTACTTTGAAACTAGGACATAAATAGCTTTTGGGGAGGGTCTGTCGTAACTTCAAATGGTCACTAAATGACCGGTTATAAGTCAAGGACTATGTTTAATCCAGTCCTTAGAAACAGACAAGAATTTTCAAACCAAAGGACAATTACACAATTAGAGTCCAATTTATTTTTTCAGATACAGTGGAAATAGTGGCAACTGAACATTCAGGCTCCAAAAGGAACATGGGGTTGCATAGTTAATATTGACGGAAATTGCAAATACATATATATATATCAAAAAGGACTATACTTATGTTTTATATATTACTCCAAAAACAATGTTTCTCAATCTTGGCAACTTGAAGATGTCCGGACTTCAACTCCCAGAATCCCCCAGCCAGTGAATGCTGGGAGTTGAAGTCCAGACATCTTCAAGTTGCCAAGGTTGAGAAACACTGCTCCAAAACTTTTGATTATACTGACCATTTAAAATTAAGGAACTCTCCAAAAGCAATGGGTATATTCCAGGATTTTATTGTTCTGAAATAGCCAATAGCACATTTGGTGGGTGAATAGAGTACTGGAAACAAGAGAAATGCGCCTGCATGATGCACGGAGGCACAGAACAACTTGGAGAGCTTTTTTTTTATTTTTCAAGAGTGGGTCAAGATTTGATGGAACACAACATTGAGAGATAAAAATGCAATATAAGCAACTTATATTTGAGCTGAAAAGAGCCATGGTGGTGCAGTGGGTAGAGTGCAGTACTGCAGGACATTTCAGCTGACTGCTAGTTCTGCAGTTCAAATCTCACCGGCTCAAGGTTGACTCAGCCTTCCATCCTTCCGAGGTGGGTGAAATGAGGACCCAGATTGTTGTTGGGGGCAATATGCTAACTCTGTAAACCGCTTAGAGAGGGCTGAAAGCCCCATGAAGCGGTATATAAGTCTAACCGCTATTGCTATTGCTAACTTCCTCCAGTTTCATTCTTTTAGCAAACTTAACACCATTGATATTTTCATCAGCTATTGAAAAGTATTGCATGCAGGCAAGTAATGCCAACTCAGGGCCAAATGGACAGCAGCCTTCCTAATTTGCAGGTGACTTAGCGAGAGTGGAATTTCTGTCGCTACCAATCTATTCTTATCAATACTTAAATCTGTGAAAAACCAGGCTAGTACTTTCAAAAAGTTCTGGGAGGGCAACATATGGAAATGGAAAGGTGACATCCCCTTTACACTGTGGTGAGCCTACAGCTTGTATTATAAAGGTCAATCCTTCATTTCAGAAACCTTCAGATTTATTTATTTTTTCTAGTTCTGCTCTTGAATTTTCCTTCCTGAAGCAAATGTATAAACATAAACAAGTATTATTTTTTAATCCCTATCAACCTCTTTCAGATTTGCCCCCTTTTCAGGTTAGTCTTTCATTTCCCCCCAAAGAAAATGCGACCACTGCCTGCACCTCTTCACATGCGAGGCTTCTGAAGTGACAGCAAGGGATCAGCTGAGTTCGCAGCCCCGAGCGGATCCCTCCAGAAACGGGGTCCCAGTTGAGGCAAAGCTAAACGCCTGTGGTGGGTCGCATTGTCTGCGGAGGAGCATCTTCACTTTCAGTTCAGTGTGAAGCGCCGTTTCCCCTCCTTCCTCCCTCCCCAGTGAAGTTGCTCAAAGGCCCCGGCAGAGCCTCCCTTTGCCCCCTTGGGGGGAATAACGTGGCCCCGGAGCTCCTGGCCGGAGGGACCCTGCGGGGAAGCTGCTGCTTCGCCCTCCCGCCCGTCGCAGCGGCCCCGGGAAGCGGCTCCTCCGGCCCCGCAGCGCTTCCTGCTTTCCCCAAGGTGCCGGAGAAGCGGCTTCTCTGCGCCAGGAACTGCGAGGTGGAAGGGAGGCAGGCGGGCAGGGAGGGAGGGAGGAGGTGCTGCTTTTGCGCCCGCCGTCACGCCGGGCCGGGCAGGCGAAAGAGCGAGAACTCGGGCCACCCTCGGCGGAGACGCCCGGGAAGCCGCCCGCGACCCCGGAGGGGGGAAGAAGGGCCAGCGAGACCCGCGTCCCCTCCTCCCCTCCCCTCGGCCTCCCTCCGCCCAGGCCGGACCGGCGCTGCCTTCTCCCTCCAGGGGCTGCCGCCGCCTCCTGGGACCCCTCGCCCCGACATGCGACCATGGACAGCAGGGTCAAGTAAGCGCCGGGCGGGCGGGCGGGCG